ATATCAAGTCATACAAAAATCGAATTCATTCAAAATTACTGCTCTTCACCTACATCTATTGTCAAAAAAAAACAAAAAAAAAAAATGTACTTGGAGCAAAAGATCTTATTTGGAAACTATTGTTTATTTTCCACATTCGATGAACTCGAACAACACAAATTGGTCACCACACACATTTTTTCTAAGCAATTCTAATTGCAAAATTGTTCTTTTTCCCAGATTTGAAATATATCTTTCATGTTTTTACAAATCTATTTTTAAATAAAGAATTAATTTCGAGATATTTTTTTTTTTTGATGTATACTAGTTTTTTTTTTAAGTTGAAATCAGTCAAAACCAAATAAAAACACAAATACGTAAAGAAACCAATGTAAAATAAATATGCACATAGAAAATAAATATCAATAAAATATAAAGCAGGATCAAATTAAATTTAAGTTATTATTATTCAATTAATAAACCAATAGTGAGGTGGAAATGTGCATCTTAAATTCTGTTATTGGATTTCTGAGACAGGTTTTCAAATAATTCCATAATAATTTTTTTTGTATCGCATGCGAGTTTTGATTGTAGTATCTCCTGGAGTACATTTTCACACAATTCAATAATTTCCGTTTCGTACACATATTCCAATATATTTTTATCGCATGCCACATTATTATTCACACTTTTTCTCGTCATAATTATTTTCTTATCGCATGCTATATTATTCTGCAAACCATCAGTTCTCTCATGTAGCACTATACAACATTCCTCGCCATCACAACAAAACCCATAACACAGTCCATTGCCTTGACCAACGTTTTGATTTTATGATTTGTTTACACACTTTTTATAGCACACACAAATCCACAACTCACTGATTGATTCAACAAATATGTAAACTCACCATTAAATTTCCTTGAATCCAGATGACCGGCAATAATTTGCCTAATTCCTCCACTGCGATTGTGTTGACTCCTTCACGGGAAACAGCATAAAATAATTAATCCCTGCCATCAATCAAATTATTATCCCTGATGTTGCTATGGCCAATTTTGTCTCGAATGGATTTTTATTGCAATCGTCATGTCCCGTTTTATTACCTGAAATAGAAGAAAGTAAATTAGTAAAATATACAAGAACATACAAAAAAATAAATGCTACCTGTATGGCTGGTTGCGTTTTCTCTTGGTTTTGGTTTGGTTCAACAGGCAAAACGATTGACAACACCACATCAATGAACACTCACACACAACAACACGTAACATATTAATGCCTGCTTGTAGCTGTCTGCTATGAATGAGCATTGTTGGTTTCGGCTTAACGTGTAGAATAGGTATGTGTGTGCGTGTGTGTGATTTTAAGTTGAGACACCTCTGGCGGCTGAATGAACCAGCGTACGCACATACGTACACACACGTAACAATAGGGACGCCGACAGCCAGCCAATGAAACATTTGTTTGCACACACTTTTTCCTGAAAATACACCAAAATTAAAGGGTTAGTAATGATATTATACGAAATATGAAGAACTTACCTGTTGGTTGCCACCGATGGCTACGGATTGTTGGAAAAAAACCAACATTTATAAAAATCACATGTTCGGGCGTCTTTTCAATAAATTCCCGAATGTATCCAATACGACGCGTCCAGTAACACAATACCACGCACATCACCATCCCAATCGAATTTCGAGGGAATGGTGAAGTTTTGTTGCGTGGGACTGACTGCCTCACCAATATTCTTTTAATTAAATAAAAAAAATTTAAATAAAAAGGAAAAATTGTCCGTGACCTCCCGACCACAAAAACCGGCACTTTAGAAATGAAGCGGAAATGCTGTGGTACCAAAAATTGCCGCTACTGTCAGAGTTGCATTAACACCGATTAGTATCGATGTTTATTAATCGGATATGCAACTCTGCGATAAGTATAGGGATCGCTAGGTCGTAGATAGGAAAAAATGATAAACAGCAGAAAAAAAAGAAAAGCCCGAAAAGAGGGAAAATTCGGCGTCGTCCCCTGCAGTATAAAAGGACCCCAAAGGGAAAAATGCGCTCTCATTTGAACAGTGGTGCGATACGACAGTTTTTCAGAAAATAAAACAAACTCGAATATTAGTTTTATTAAAGGCCTAAATCTGCCTTAATAGATTTTTATTTATGTTGTGGGCGTTAAAAACAGAGCGTAAGTGTAAAGTCATTGTGTAGTGTGTGATTGTGTCGACTTATGTTGTTTTTTGTGCGTTTTTTTTGTGTTTCCAGTGTACCGCCAACTAACCAAAAATCTGAGGTTTCAACTGACCTCCCCAACAAACATAAAACGGAGAGGTCAGTTTTTATTGTATCGGCCACAAAAAACCGCTACCGCAACAGCCACCAACTTATTCCAGGCCACAATCGCTGCCATTGCATTGGCCACAAATAAGCGCCGCAAAACAGCCACCAAATTGGCCCCAGCCACAATAAAGACGGCAACAACAGCAAGCGCCAAAGAACCGGGTTCTGCCTTATCCCGAGGAAGACGTCGGCTGTAGGTGTGCTGAAAAGGAATAAAACGGAAAGGTTATCAATTATTATTATTTTTGGATTAATCCAGGTAACAAAAATAGTACTTACCAATTCCATATGTAAAACTGGCATCATCACCACAAGAAAATTAAATAATCTGAAAAGAAAGAAAAGAATAGAAGTATGTTATTTACAAAAAATTAAAAATTATAAAAAGGCATAACCAAAACTAAAGAAATCTGAAAATTATGAAAATTTTAAAAATCGATTAAAACTAATAATATTACAAAAACAATACTATTTAAACTCTTAGGTTAAGTTGTGTTGTCCATAAGTGTTTATAAAATAATGATTCTAAATATCTATATGTAAGAAGCATTAACTAGGTTTTTTTCGTAAGATATAGTGATTATAGGGTTGCCCCAATTTATGTAGGTTGTTTTGTGTTTAGTGTGGACTAATTAATATGTCCAGCAAAAACCTACTAAGCGAGCTCATTTAGGAAGGTATAACAATTTTAATATTTAGGAGAAAAGCCTATATTGGCATTGCGTGATATCTACATAAAGAAAGGGTAAAAATCCAATGTTTAATGAATCACAAAATTTATAGAGAATAGTTAATGTTTCATTCTTATTGTGTTTTATCTATTAAGGAAATTATGTCAATAAACTGTTTTTGATTTGTTTGTTAAAAATAATATGATGTTCTGATTGTTTTTGTGAGAGAGGAGAGTTAGGATATTGTAATGAGGTGAGTGTATGTGGAATTCGGGGCCCTTAAAATGTTGTATTTTTAATAGGATCTGAGGGTCAAGGTAGGGTGGGCAAGTGTGGGAGTAAAACCACCAATCTCCCTTGTTTCAGGTGTACCAGGTGTTTGTGTTGTATAGTTTTGTCTTTATTTATGTTTGTCGAAATAAAAATTTAATTGTTCGTCCTCTAGGACTATTGGTGTCTGGGATGGAACCGCCCTGATTATTGGCTCCTGAGCTAGCGGCCACAGATACACCATAGTACCGAAGTAGGTGGCACGTAACAGTTTTCACACGAGTAAGTCAAATTTTGACAGTTCTGATGAAATCATTTCGCTTATTACTCGACCTGTTTATTGGGTTATGATCCCCCAACAAAACATTTGACAGTATAAATGTTTTGTTTAAGTTTTCATACGATTAAGTCAAAATTGAAAGCATTTTTACAGCTCGGGTGAAATCATCTGGCCTTATCGGGCGACCTTATTATCGGGCCATGGCACAATAAATGGGTAGTCTCATGGCACAATATATAAGTAGTCCATTTAGAGCAGCTGATGGCTCGATTAATTGCCAATGTGCGTAACTTTGACAGTTAATGAATAGGTAGTCCAACAACATTGCACATCGAATTCAAGTAGAAATTACACACTTTAACAGTTAATCGAGACATCATTCGCCTATCAGGCTACCATGTTGCAATAATATGGTTATGTATCAAAAGAAAAACATTTGTTTTTTACCCGACCATCTATCAAATTTTGTCTTGTAATATTTCTCATGGTAGGCAACATGGTATATATTTCTTAAGGTAGCCGCATAGGCGAATTTCTACAACAAACATCGGTTGTTGTATTTGATATGTCAAAAAAAAATCCAAAATAAAGAGATTCATAAGATTTTGTTACACAAATTCTTGTAGAAAATTTTAATCAAAATTCGGAGATTTTCATTTATAATTTTGTTTTTTTTTTATTTTTTTGGTTCTACAACAATATTTTTGACATTTATTTGGATCAACAGCTGGCCCGATGCGTCTAACTTATTAAATATACCGTGGTTGGCAACATTGCATATCGAATTCAAATAGAAACTACGCACTTTGACTGTTAACAAAATAGTCAGCTGAACTAAATGGACTACATACATATTATTCCATGGCGGTTACCATGATTTAATAATAAGGTGATGTATCAAAACGAAAACATTTGTTTTTATCTCGACCATCTGTCAAATTTTTCCATAAAATATTTCGCATGGTTAGCAATATTGCAAATAGAAACTACGCACTTTGACTGTTATTAAAAAAGTCAGATGCGCCTATTTATTGTGCCATGGCGGCTACCTTACTGATTATACCATGTTTGCATTGATAAAAACAGCTGTTTCTTGTACTAATACGATCTGAACTTATTAGTCACCTAATAAGTCGGCACTGTATCTAGTTCCAATCATTCATTTTGCGGAATAGTTCCCATGAACTTGTTCGGATAGTTTTTTTTTGTTAATTTATATCAAATTGAATTTAAATTCAATTAAAGTTATTTTTTAAGGAAATAAGGTATTTTTTAATATATATTAAATAACAACATTTCACATTTAGTTTTTAATCAAGGGGTATCTAATCGATCTGTATATCAGCTCACACACTTTCTAAAGTCCAAACTGGTAAATGTAATTACTAATTTCCTTTTCAAGATAACAACAACGGCGACGACAAGTAAACCAGACAGTCAGTCAGCCAGCCTACCAGAATGTCAGCCGAAACATGGGAGATAGCCTTGTATGTGGTCCTAGCCATATTGGCTCATGTTGTAGTCTATCTGTTTGTAACAAGGAAACGGGCCAAGAGTATTGTGGGAAAGCATGTGGTGGTTACGGGAGGCAGTAAAGGAATCGGTTTACGTTTGGCTGTGGAGTGCGCACTTCGTGGTGCTAATGTTACCGTTTTGGCACGAGATGAGAAAATGTTGAGTAAGTATAGCGTACGTCTCTATGACCGCACCCATAGGTGTGTTTGCGTGTTGTCCGGCTTGTTCGATTTGTTTACATTACAAAATGTGTTGATTTGTTTTATGTGTTTATCAGGTGGTGCTGTTGCCCTCATGGAGGTGATAAGACAAAGTCCCGAACAAAAATTCCAATATCGTTGCCTCGACTTGTCGACAAGTTATGAAAATGTTGCAACATGTTTGTCGGAAATTGAAAAAGAATTCGGTGATATATACATGCTGGTCAATTGTGCTGGCTTGGCCATTTGTGGTGTGTTCGAAGAGGTTTCCGTCGAAGATGCCAGAAAGCTGATGGATGTTAATTATTGGGGTTCTTATAATTGCACGCGTTATGTTTTGCCCAAAATGAAACAGGCTAAGGAGGGCGTTATTGTAATAACTGCCTCACAGGCGGCTCTATTTGGCATCTATGGCTATGGACCATATGCGGCATCTAAATATGCATTGCGGGGCATGGCTGAAACGATTGCCATGGAAAGTCGCCACTTGGGTGTGAGTGTGACATTGGCATTGCCCGCCGATACCAATACACCTGGCTTTGAAAATGAAAATAAAACAAAGCCTCAGGAAACGAAATTAATTTCTGGTGGTGGTGGTTTAGCTGAACCCGATGCGGTGGCAAAACAAATTGTAAATGATGCTTTGGTAAGTTGTTAATAATCCATATTATTATTGCTCCATTAAAAATGAAATTAATTAAAAATTTCCTGCATTGCAGAAAGGTAATTTCATTTCCATCCTTGGTGCTGAATCATGGATTTTGACAGTATTAGGCGGCGGCCTCTTCCGTTGGGACGGTGTTTTCCAAAATCTATTCCATGCATTGCTGGTGGGACCACTACGTTTTATTGATTACATTCTACACTTGCACTTCGAAAGGATAATCAGGAATTGTGCCAAGAAGAAAACTGACTGATAGAAAAGATAAGATGCTGACTAAAAAAAATGAATTTGTTATTGTTGTTTGCTATTGACGCACAATTGAGAGCTATTGAATTTTAAGGGTTATTATGGCCTACATGATGACAACATTTCATTTATATTTTAAAAAAAGAAAAACGTATGCAGTTTTATTGTTAAAATGTTTATTTCTTTCTAATCATTCTAAATATTTATACACTAGTTTTTTCTATGTCCACAAATTAGAGTATATTTTTTATATACATATATGTATTAGAGATCGTGTACTTATACATTCAGTGTATTTGTAATTTAATGTTTATTAAAGAAAATAAATGTTTTTGTCATAAATTATTTAAATTTAAAAATTTTTTAATTACCAAGCAGACATAAGCACAAAAAGGGATCGTTTCCACGACAGATATATATATATATATATATATCTGTGAATTGGTCCAATTTTTTGAAAACTACACAACAAGTCCATAGCAGTCTTTTATTGACGAACTGGGAGTAATCTGAAATTAACCCATTAAATGCATTATTTGTTTTATGTATTCTTTAATCATAATGACCTAATTTTATTTATAATCTCTTACTGCACACCTTAAATATAAATAAATAACGCTCTGTATCGCTGTAGAGAATACAGTTTTCTTCATGGCATTTTGTTTTTATCAGCATTTCGGAGAATTGTGATTCAGCTCTGCTACCACCACCAAACCAATCGGAAGCAAATTAAAATTGATATCTTCTTAATTGCTGTGATGTTACCCCTGAAATTACCCAAGATAAATATGAAATTATCAATTTTGGCATTTATAAGCTACATGCATATTATTTCGTATCACAATGACTGGATATTTGGATATTTAGTTGCTGCCTTAGTGTGATATAGATATTGAAATAATGCAGAAGTTAATATTTTACTTCTTAACGATTTTGATATTTCTAGGAAATATTGAAAGGATTGAGGCAAAAAAATTTCGTATAGTAAATGGGCAAAATGGTTTTATAGAAAATTTTCCATTTCAAGTAAGTGCGAAAAAAGAAAACTATTCAAAAAAAAAAAAATAATAGCTGATCACTAATATATTAATATATATTTTTTTCAAAAATCACACACATTCACAGCTCTCCTTAAGGCTTAGGACAATACATATATGTGGTGCTTCGGTTTTAAGCGATTCTTGGGCCATAACAGCCGCCCACTGTGTACATGACGTTGAGCACACACCCAGAGAAGTAACCTTACGTATGGGTAGTACATGGAGAACACGAGATGGTGTCATAGTACCAGTTCAACAAATTCACACTCATCCCAGTTATAATCCGGAAACAATGAACTTTGATGTATCGTTGTTGAAAGTTCGTGAGAATACATTCCATCGCCCCGATATGTATGTACGATCAATTAAATTACCTGGACTGTCGGAAAAAATACCAAATCAAAGTGTAGCCATAGTATCTGGTTGGGGCCATCAGAGTTCTTCCGATCATAATTTGTCATTTCAGTTGAAATACACAAAAGTCTACACGGTCGATCAAGCCGAATGTCACAACAGTTTGAAAATGCATGGTGGCGTTACAAATGCGTGTGTATTGAATCCTTTATTTTTAAATCAAAATTTTAGTAATATATTTGTTTTTCTTTTGTCGTAGTATGTTTTGTGCAGCAGCCCGCAGTACAGATGCCTGCCAAGGTGATAGTGGTGGACCCATAACAATAAATGGTATATTAGTTGGTGTTGTTTCATGGGGTGTCGGTTGTGCTGATCCTTATTATCCTGGTGTTTATACGCGTTTAGCATATGCCCCCATACGTTTTTGGATAAAACTAATAACAAAGTTATAAAGTATTTTTGTTTTGACATATAATTGCTTTTGAATAAAAAAATTAAAGTTTTTTTTTTAAACTTTTAATTATCTTTTTTATTGTAAAATTTATAGGTTATGTTCTATTAAAAAATTTATAGGTTATGGATTTATAAACTAATATTAATTTGCATAAATTCGTATTTTTTTGTTATAGATCATCTATATTCTGAAAGGAATCTATACAGGCAAGCTGAAAGGAGTCTTTACAGAGTCTATACAAATTGAGTCCTTATATACGAGGTGAAGGGCGTATTTATAGACGAGCTGAAGGGAATTTTTACGAACGAGTTGAAAGGAGGTTTTTATAGACGAGCTGGATGCAGTCTTCATAGTCGAGCTGAATGGAATGGACCTGAAGGCAGTCTTTACAGACGACCTAAATAGAGTTTTAATAAAAGGGAATTAAGAGGGAGTCTTTATAGGCTTTATAGAAAATCTTTGTAGACGAGCTGAAGGGAGCATCTATAAACAAGACACTGCATATTTTTGAACGACTTTTTTTAATTTAGCGTTTTTTTAGCATTCTATGCTGGTAACGCCTTTTATATTTCTTATGATGCAATAATTAGTAAAAAACAGCTGTTTTATCTTGATTATCTGTCAAATTTACATAGCGAATATTATATTTTTCGCCTCGACAGAAACGAATTGTGTTTATTCAATAATTTGTACAAATTATAACAAAATGTTGTTTGTTTACCCAAAAGTCCAGTAAATGAGAGTAAATTGAGACAAACAAACAACAAAATTGTTCTCAAGCAAATTGCTTCTTTTGTGGATTTTATTTTGATTTTGTATTATAAAACATTAAAATGGATGAAAAAAGCATCTATTTATAAACATAATCAATTTTCCCATGGTATCCATTTGCGTCAAATTGTTTGTAGTTTTAATCAGCTTTGTCGATGCAATCATTTTCTGGATGTACATTTAATTAGTATTTAGTCTATGCAAATTTTTACTGAGTAATGTTACTGGAAAGTAAACGAATGAACCTATTATTAGCACTGCCTCGATATTTGGTAACAATTGTTACCAAATGTTTAGTCTGTTTACCCAAAAATCCAATAAAAGAGAGTCAAGTGAGAGAGCAAGTTTGACAGTTGAACACCAAACTTACTGGAGTTTACTGAAAGAATTTTATTCAGTAAGATTTTGCAAACTCAGCCATTTTTGGATCAGCTGATTTTTGACCAAACACAAACATTTTAAACAATTTTTTTTTTAATTTGCAAAGTTCAATTTGAAGTAAAGTTGTATAAAAATTACAGAAAATGGAAGATAATTCGTTAGTAATTAAATTAGAAACTAATTCCTTATATATTTTTAGGCAAGTTCCAGATAGAGGGCAATGTATTGAATAATTTTTTTGGCGCAAATCAAATGTTTTCTTGAATCAGCTGTTTATTTGAAAAAAACTTACTAAATGTTGTCTGTTTACTTTTCTCAGTAAAAGAGCAAAAGAGACTAACCAGACACTCCTATTGTAATGTTGTCAGCATTGCGCGGCGAATTCAAATGAAAAATGTGTTTTGACAGATAATCCAGATATCAGCTGTTCCATAAGTAACAGCTGTTACAACATATGTTTGGTCGTATAGGGTCATCATCTGAAATTTCATAAACACACAGCACGATATCAGGAGGAAACAAACGGGAAAAAATATGGGAGCACCATTAAAAGGATTTAGATTTGTTCTATTTGTTGGAGCCCTTGTCGGTGGCATCGGAGCAACTTTATATCCCATAGTCATTAAGCCAATGATGGGAGTGGATGAATACAAAGATATCAGAAAGCAAGTAGCCAGCGAAGTCCGTAAACATTGATTGGAAGAAACCCGGTATATAATGGTAAATGGATCCAATCGAAACAAATAAAACATATATATTTATTTTTCTAATGTAATACGCAGCTCCATGGTTTTATAACGTATATTTGCTGTACTGTGTAAAGCAATATGTGAATATAATTTTTTAATTATTATGTAAATGTTTAGAGTTAATAAAGTTATTGTCATTTGAAATAATTTAGTAACTTGTTTATATTAATAACTTAATTAGGATGTCTTGTTCGTGTTTTTTTAGGCGGACTAGACCTAAAGAGAGTATTTATATAATCGGAGTCTTTATAGAAAATTTGATCGGAGTCTTTATAGAAAAGTCTTTATATAGAGCTGATTTATAGACGAGCTGATCGGAGTCTTTATAAAGGTAGTCTGTATAGACTGAAGCTGAAAGGAGTCTTTATAGACGAGCTGAATAGAGGCTTTATATTGACTAGCTAAAGGATGTCTTTATACAGAGCCGAAAGGTGTCTTTATAGACGAGATAAAATATTACAACTTGAAAAGATGGAATCAATTCAAATATTCCATACCGTTCATCTGTGATTTACAATTTTGTTTATATTCAAAACCTTTTTGGAGGTATGGGTTTGGTATTTTATTCGCTCATATGTTATATATATATATATATATATTTCCTTTATTCTCAAAACATATCCTACCGTATAAGGTTTTATACTACATGAAGTAGAAAAACTACTTAAAACAAGTAAAAACGTAGTACACCATTAGGTGAATATTTGAAATACCAATAATCGTTGGGGACCTTCATAATTGACAGGTTTTGTCATGGTAAATATGAGGTAGCAAGATTTGTGCACCCAATGAGTACCACATTAGAGCCAATTCGGTTAAAATTCTTGTCCAAAATATGGAAAATATAATTAAAAGTTGAACGATGTTGACCAAAGTACCAATTTACAGCCAATTCGGTGGAAAAATTCGTAAAATATCGAATATTGTTGGCTATCATTATAAGGGTCCATACCAAAAGGTGGATTGAATTATCCAATTTTCAATACCAAACAGTAGCAAAGTTTCTTTGTCTTATATATTGCGAGCTCTATAGTGATTTCAATAGACGGACATTCATAAATCAACATTGCATTTTATTCTGATTAAGTATATACATATATATATATTATATGGGGTCTCCGGTAAATATTTCGAAGTGTTACAATTAAATATATACTCCAACTCGTGCTGGAGGGTATAAAAAATACTCATATTTAATATAAATTTTGCTGAATTTTGAATGAAAGTTTTTTTTACGTATAACCAAAAAAATGGATTTAATACAAATTTGTAACCTTGTAGTAAATCTATTACAAACATTTTCGCATCTTTGGACTTAATCTATTGAAATTTTTGACCATTTGTGGGGGAGGTACCAGAAGGAGTGGACCAATGGTTCCCATCTTCGGACTTGATCTACGGTTGATAAAGATAATACGTTGTACAAGGTTTGGTTCAAATCTGAGATGCCATTGCATTTATAAATATTGAAACTTTTGACCATTTGTGGGTAATAGGTTGTACAAAGTTTCATTAAAATCTGACATGTTATTATATAATAAATTTTTGGAACAATTTTGACCACTTGTGGGGGAGGTTCCAGAAAGAGTGAACCAATGGGTCCCATCTTCAAGCTTGATCTAGGCTTGGTAAAGGTAATAGTTTGTCGAAAGTTTAGTTCAAAACGGACATTCCATTAGCTTGATATTGGTATTATAAATATTGACAATTTTGACTCTCTGTGGGAGTGGTACCAGAAAGAGTGGACCAATGGGTCCCATCTTCAAACTTGATCTAGGCTTGGTAAAGATAATAGGTTGTGCCAAGTTTCGTTAGAATCGGATAGTAGGTTGTACAAAGTTTCGTTTGAATCGGATAGTCCGTTTGCATGTTATAATAAAATTAATTTTTAGCATAAATTTGAGCATTTTGTGGGGAATGTACCATACCATAGAAATATTAATATATGCAAAGTTTAAATGAAATCGGTTGCTGCCTTCGAGAGTTATCGAAAAATAATCTATAAATACAGTATTTTTCGGTTAATTGCACATCAAAATTTGCACAAATTTTTGTTCAATTAGCCGAGGAACCAATTATCCGATACCTGCTTAATTGAACTGTTTTTCAATTACACGCATAATTCGGCGAAAAAAAAACATTCTAGACTTAACTCAGTACGCTATGCAAAATTTCGAGCAAATCGAAAGAAATTTAGAAAATATATATGGAGGCTATTTCTAATTTATTTTTATTTTTCTAGACTTAATTTAGTACGCTATGCAAAAAGTCGTGCAAATGATCATATAAAGGGATTGACTTTAAAAAACAAAAAACATATATATAAATTTATTAAATCTAAACTTTATATTCAAATTTAGCACACAATGCATCTAGAAATCTAACTTTTTTTATTTCAATGCAATTATAGCTAAATTTTGTGTACCAAATTTCATCCGGCCACATATTTCGACTTGTTCCGAACTAATGTTTGCCAAAAATATCCCCATTTTTTCGGTGTAGTGTATGAAAACAAAAAGAAATGAATGACAATTTTGAAAATATTTTTTATTTTCAAATGTTTCTCTTTTATAATTGTATGTGTGAGCAATTTGACATACACCGACAGCCCATGGGACCTATTTTGGGCACTGCTGATCTATATACATCTATTATACCTTAAGAGCAATATTAATAAAAAATTGAGATATTTATTTACAGAAAGTATACATATTTATTTTTTTCGACATGCATAAAAATTTATGGAATTTATTTTTTAAACAATTTGAAATTGATAGATGATTTCCAAATTAAAAATGGTTGCCTTTATTAATTTCTCAAATGCGACTACCTTCTGTAATTATGCCATGTGTGAAAATATATAGTTTAATATAAACTCAAACTTAAAGATTACTATATTCTTAATAAGGTTTAATTTTTCTAATTATCAGTCACTGACATTGAGTGCCTGTTGCAATAATAATGTGATGTATCAAAACAAAAATCTTTGTTTTTATCTCAACCATCTGTCAATTTTTTTCCTCAACTAAAACAAGTTTGGCAACATTGCACATCGAATTCAAGTAGAAATAACGCACTTTTGATTTGTTTTCCTACTGCAAGAATCCTCTACTTTTTACTACGATAACACTTTTTTCCTATATAATATCGAAAAAAATAGTAAAAATTAGCTGTACGGGAACAGACCATTAGACATTTAATCGAATCATCAGCTGTGCTAAATGGACTACCTATTTATTGTGCCATGCCTGTTATCATCACTTGCAATTTTGCATTTTTCTGTTGTTATGGCAACAATGTCCGTTCGCACTGACACTTCACCGTGTTTACAATTTTTCATATGACATTTCGTTTTGCAAATATTCCCCTTTGGTCTGTGTTTTCATTAGAAAAGAATAATAAAAAAATAATAAAATTAAATTAATATGAAACAATTTCAATATTAAAACGAAGAAAAACAAGTAATTCTAGCAAAGCTTGTGATTTATGTGGCCAGAATTTGACATTTATTGTATTTTAATAATCATTTGACAACATTTGATTCCATAACATTTTAGTTTTGTTTTAGGACGAATACAAAATTCACACACAATTTAATTGTGAAACGAAATTTCGCAGTTGACCGCAAACAAAAAAATTAAAAACGAGCAAAGCGCAGTAAATGGGGGTATTACAGAGGATATTGTGGACACAACAACAACATGCAACGAGCACAACTTCATTTGGTGTTATCAATGCGGCGGCAATGTGCATAGTTAGGAGGACTCTAAAGAAGCCAGCATCACAGACAAGGTGGGTCATAGGTATTTCGCATGCTGCATTACGTGCGATGTTACAAGGGGAACCCAGAAATAGAATTTTACATTCTAGAAATTTGGCGCCCTTAACAAGTTCACCGTTCACATGAAATTGTTGTTGTGTGGGCAGATTGATGCACTCAGTTGCATAACGCAAACAAAGCAACAAACTGTCGCCAGTGTTTGCTGCAGTTGATTTCCTAAAATTTGAAATAAACGCATTGTAATTGTTGTGTTGTTGTTATTTTGTAGATTGGCCGAAGTGGGTCGCTTGGAAGCGGCCAAAGTTGATAGTAAATATGAAACTGGTCAATTATTCCTACATAAAATATTTGGTTATCGTGGTGTAGTCCTATTTCCATGGAAAGCCAGAGTATATGATCGTGATCTGCACAATCCTAATAAACAAAAACCTGCAACAACAACAACAGCAGGCGGAGCTGGAGCACAAACTACAAATATTGCAAGTGCCAATGTAGCAAGGGGGAAGTCGCCCGCTGTGGAGAAAGTGGATACAGCAGCCGGAACAAGTATGCGAATCAAATAATTCTATATTCTTTTTAAAGATAGTTATATTTGTTTTTAGCCTCCAAGTCACCATTGGAAGAAAATGCAGATGCAACAAAATCACCATCCACTTCTGATAATGTGAATAGCCAAACAACAGCATCTACAGTTGGCGATACAAACGAATCAAACACCAAAGAAGTCAAGGGAAAAGTTCAGACATTTTATCAAGTTTTAATCGATTCTCGTGATTGTCCCTATATTGTAAGTATTTTTGAAAATGGAGAGAAAGAAAAATTCGCGACCTCAGAGCTCAAAAATCATGTTTAATTCTTTAATATCTTCGCTATCTACGTTACAGGGTTTAAAATATTTATTTTTTAACATTTACGCCTAAAAAGCTCGTTGTCTAGTTTGAAATATTTATATTATAAAATCTACGCATTAAAAACTCGTTGTAGAATTTGAAATATTAAAAAGAAAATCGAGGTCTTAAAAGCTTTATGTAGAAATTTGTGAAAATTTACGCCTTAACCCTGCGATCCATAACCACCTGAAAAAACGAGAGTCCATAACCAGTGTACCTCAAGTGAATTTTTTAGATTATATTCAAATAAAATAATATATACATCGATTATTAAAAAGGCTTATGTTTTACGTCCCAACTGAACAAATGTTGCTACCTAAAAGGCTCACAATAGGAATAAGTAGCAAATGTTAAAAAATGCTATAAAGCAGCACATTTCAATTATTTTGTCAGAACAATGAACAACGAATATTTAGCTGAAAGACAATATTTGCGTTGGAGTGGAGAATCCAGAAGCCGATACATTGAGTCCATGCCTGATAATATGATTAGAGATGGCAATGATGACCAAACTTTAGATGCAATTGAGAAAGAAGGAGGTGTATTTACGGGAGAAGTGCAAGACTCCGAAAGTGAAGACAATGACAAGGAAGTTCCAGACGCTATTGGCACGTCAATGCAAAATGAATAATACGTGTCTGAAGATAAAAGTGACATCGAAACTGATATGGCTGAAGAAAACTCGCAGTGGTCCATTCCGAATGACGGAAAGTACGACTGGTATACAATGCTTCAAGTGTTATTTAACAATAGAAAAAAAAAAACAATTCAACTTATAATGCCTACAATACAGCAAACCCAACAAAGCGTCAATTGAAGGCTATCCTTCGACAGTGGCAGAAATATATGCATTTATTGGAATGTTGATAATGATAGGAGCAAATCATTCCAATGATGAAAATACAAGGGATTTATGGTCGCAACTCCTCATACTCTATTCCGTGCAACAATGGGTTTAAACCGCTTCTGGGATCTTATTCGTTTTATACGTGTTAATGATGCGAGAACAAGAATCGAGAGGCAGCGCACAGACAAAGCTGCTACAATACGAGATATTTAGGAAATGCTGAATGTCAATCTCGCAAAACATTATGGGCCTACAGAAAATTAAACAATCGACGAATAATTGTTTGCGTATCGCGGCAGATAGTGGATATGCGATGCTACAAATTACAAATTATGACAACAACAGAAACTTTCCATATCAAACAACAAGAAAAAAATAACAATTTTCGTACACTTGTTGGAGAATTATATGCGCCAATAAGTGAGAAAGAGTAACCAATCAAATAATGCACCCTTTTTCTACCAGCAACTCAGAAAATAAACATCCACTTCTGCGGCTGCTCCTACCGATGCCAGGAAGCCTATAACAGGATGCTGTTATTGGGGCACTTTGCCAGACAACAGGATAAAAAAGACATGAAATGTATGCAACATTTGCAAGAAACCAGGCTGCAAGCAACATCCCAAAGGAATTATAATATAGATCGTAGGGTTAAGACCTTTAAAACGAATCCTTGATCCACATATTAAGAGCTCTTTGTAAGCTTCGAACATTTTTAAAAGCGCTTGAAAAGCTCTGTAGATTTGGAAATATATTTTCTTCCCCTTAACAGCTTTTTGTAGGCATTGAAAATCTTTTAGCTTTATATATACAATAAAAATATACAACATATGCGCTTTAATGCTCGTTGTAGGCTTTTGAAAATACATCTACAAACTTCCTTCTGACTTTAAAAAAGTTTCCAAACTACATATTAAAAGCTTTGAATTTTTTTAACGGCTCAGAAAAAGCTCTAAAAAATAAAGCAACTTGCATATTTTTTTAAACCGCAACTTAAAGTTCATTTAAACCGCAACTTAAAAGCTCATTTTAACCATCGAAATATTTTTAAACGATCTGTTATCAATATATTATTATTCTTCTTCCAATAGCGCGCCCAAACGGAAGCAGTGACCTTTTTAGGTAATCAGGATTCAAATCGTAGCCTTTATGCTATACCTGGTTTAGATTATGTGTCGCACGATGATATTATGCCATATTCGACAACGGAAAAAACACCATTACAGCATGAACTTTTTGAAAAGTTCTTGGGCTATGCCCCCGAAAAAGATCCTCCATTTGAGGCGAAAGACACCCTAAAGACATGGCAAGAAAAAAATCATCCTTGGTTGGAATTGAGTGATGTACATAAGGAGACAACGGAGAATATTCGTGTAACTGTGATACCATTCTATATGGGCTGTCGTGAAACTCCTGCTTCTTCGGTTTATTGGGTGAGTACAAAAAGAGTTTCCATTTAAAAAAAAATAATAATAATGAATATGAATATTAACAACTAGTGCTGAAAATACCTTTAAATGATTCTAAAAGCCCCACATTCATTGGGGAATCTTTATTCGATTTTATTTTCATATTTTTTTCCATTTCAGTGGCGTTACTCCATTCGTTTGGAAAATCTCGGTATGATGACAGTACAATTACGCGAAAGACACTGGCGTATATTTTCACTCTCAGGTACATTGGAAACAGTACGCGGCCGGGGTGTTGTAGGCCAAGAGCCTATACTAAGTCCCCGTCTGCCAGCTTTCCAATATAGCAGTCATGTTAGTCTACAAGCTCCCAGCGGCCATATGTGGGGCACATTTCGTCTAGAACGTGAAGATGGTCATATGTTCGATTGTAAAATACCACCCTTCTCACTGGAGAGTAAACCCGAAGAGACAACCACCAACACTACAAATTCAGGGCAAACAAAAAATCCCGATGAATAAGCAAAAAACTTTCAATTTAATGGTTGATGGTTTTTAAATTTGTTGTTTTTCAAAGAAATCTTGACAATTTGTGAAATGCGAAAAACAAACAAATGAATAGATATGCCCCCTCGATCGACAATGCTTAAAATATAGTTAAATGTGTGATTGCTGAAAATAAGCTTGTAGTGAGTGTGTTGTTAACATAATAAGTTCTACACATTTTAAGTAGCTAATTTGAAATGTAAAATAAATAATAAAAGAAAGATAAAAATAAAAAACAATTTTAGAGATGTAGAATGTTAAAACAAAGAAGTTGAAATGGGTAACGAAATTGCATTAAAATAGGTTCAATTTTGTCCGAATCGAATAAACTCTTTAATGAAGGTGATAAATGTTTTTAAAGATATAATTAAATGCAATATGTTTGAATTTAGGGACTCCGTTTGAATCTTGAATGTGAATTAAGGGGACTTCTCATATAAAAGTTATATATACGTATGTTTGTGAATCACAAACAAATCTTCAGTGATTAATATGTCCCCTACTGATTACGAAACCCCTATTTAATCCTATAAGTTGCAGCTAATTAAAAATTTCCCTCAACTAATAATGTCCAGTGTTGGTAAGCAGGGGTTTCTTCACTCCTTTCATTCTATTGAAATACAATGTTCAAATACAATAATAACAATTAAAAACATGTTCTTTTTTTAATTTCTACAACAACAACAATTTATTGATTAATTTTCGCAGTTTTATTCTGAACTTGTATTTTAAAATCGAACGGTTTCATATTATCGTGAATGTCGAACATTGTTTGTAATGCATCCAAGGATGCAGTTTTAACAGCTGTTGGTATATCTTCACCAAAACCCTTACCAATCAGTGTCTTATTACAATACAAACCAACATGATAGGCAGATAGGACAGTATTTTTACCACAATCTCCCAATAGACGTGGCTCGGGTGCAGGCAATTTCTTTTGCTGACATTGTTGCTTCAGCATATCTTCAGGATTTTCGATGTTCCACAACTCAAGTATATCCTTTTGATTCAATTGCGTACACACAAAATCTCTAACGAAAAGAAAAGCTCTTTCCATACCCGAAGACTGTTCCAAGGCACCAACAACAGCTTTCAATGATTTGGACATTGAATTGGTCGATGGTGGATATTCAGCATCTAAAAGTAATTCCTTCATACCCAAATTCAAAGCTACATTGGATAATATTTCTGTGCTTAACAAATACGAGGCAATGGCCTTTCTACCCTCTGCGGGTACTTTTGGTAGGGAATAACCAATAAAAGCATCAACATATTCTTTGATTATATGTTCACCACGCTCCGAAAGTTCGTGATTATGTGACAATTGTATATCAACATTTTCAATTCCCAGATCTCGCTGCTTCAATTCTTCTTGGGCAATGTACGATTGTTGGGTGAATGCAGTTTGCAGCAATGGTATTTGGAATTCTTCTTGTAGCCTCTTGCCGAATGCGAATAGCTCAGCCCGGTAATTCCATTCAACAAAACCGGAACGTGGTTGTGGCTGTTGTGGTCCCAATTTCTTTGATCGTCTATTTAATTCACGTAGTGTGGGAGCAACCCATCGTTTAACCGATCGACTAGAAACTATAACCGGTGTTAGTGTGAGACATGACAAAAATTATTTCTTTTTTCTTACTCAGGTTTTGTTTTGGAATTAAAGCTCTACTTAGATTCAGTAATGTGACTGACGACCTTAGCATGGACATTTTATCGAGTTTAATTTAATATTTTAACAAAATTTAAAAGAAATTCTACACGAATGGTCGTGGTCCGGACACATTGAATAACATACCAACAGCTGTTTAGCGTTTTGACAACTTTTGTCGCACGCCAAGGGTGAAGTCGACGTTTCATTGTGTGCAAAACGTCAATGGCCAACCGAATTGCAGTTCGCAACTCGTGTCTCTCAGAAGTTTCACTCTCTTTGTTATTTTGCAAATAACTAAAGTATTTTTGCAAAACTCAAAATATATCGCCAGTATTTTTTATGGTGGAGTAAAATAATTAAGATTCCGAAGTTTCCCTTATCCCCTTTCGATAAAAAAATAATTTTATTGAAAGTAAACTGCTATCAAATTATTTATGTATGTTATCATTCCGCTGTGAATTGAAGAGAGTTTTCTGCCGCTACATTTAACTTATTAACGCCGTTTCCATTTGAAGCTGACTCCGTATTGTAAGAAATGCAGGATACATAAAGACGCCGTAAACAACTGAGTAGACCGAGTGGATTGTGAATTGATATTAAACTAAACATTTAATTAATTAATTTTTGTATTAAAAAAAAACAAGCAAGCATATATACAAAATGTCCGTACAAACATACGGTGATAAACCGGTGGCTTTCCAGCTTGAAGAAGGTGGAGAATACTACTATGTAGGTTCAGAGGTGGGAAACTATTTACGACTATTTCGTGGTATTTTATACAAGAAATATCCCGGTATGACTCGTATCGTTTTGTCAAATGAGGAACGTAAACGTCTGGCCGATTCTGGACTGAGTCCACATATCTTGGCAAGCTCCGTTTCATTGTTGAGGGCATGTGAAGTGGATGATATTATTGCGGGGAATGATGAAAAGTAAGTCTATACAAGATCTCCAATCCTGATATTACAATATTTTTTATTTCTAGATATCGGGCAATATCTGTCAACACCTCAGATGCACCATTGCCGCGTGAAAGTAAATCCAAGAAACAACCACAATATGTACCCACTATGCCAAACTCTTCGCATTTGGATGCAGTCCCACAGGCAACACCAATAAATCGCAATCGTGTACATACCAAGAAAATCCGAACATTTCCAATGTGCTTTGACGACACAGATCCAACTGCAAATTTAGAGAATGCCGCACAAAAGGAATGTTTGGTTCCCATACGTCTCGACATGGAATTGGAGGGGCAAAAATTGCGTGACACTTTCACATGGAATAAGAACGAGAGTATGATCACACCAGAACAATTTGCTGAGGTACTTTGCGATGATTTGGATCTGAATCCTATACCATTTGTCCCAGCTATTTCTCAAGCCATACGTCAGCAAATTGAAGCCTTCCCCAGTGATCCACCAATTATTGAAGAAGGTTCCGATCAGAGGGTTATTGTAAAACTGAACATACATGTTGGAAACACTTCCTTGGTGGATCAGGTAGAATGGGATATGTCCGAGAAGAATAATAATCCCGAAGAATTTGCTATAAAGTTGTGTGCCGAGCTTGGATTGGGTGGAGAATTTGTTACGGCCATAGCCTATAGTATTCGTGGTCAGTTGTCTTGGCATTGTCGCACATATGCCTTCAGTGAGGCGCCATTGTCCACAATTGATGTACCATTTCGTAATCCCAGTGATGCTGATGCTTGGGCACCATTCTTGGAGACATTGACCGATGCCGAAATGGAGAAGAAAATTCGTGATCAAGATCGTAACACAAGACGTATGCGTCGTTTGGCCAATACAACAACTGGCTGGTGAATTTCTACTCAAAACAGTCTCTTTTTCCCAACATACTTATTCCTAATGCTACAGTTTTAAGTCCTAGAAGTGATTTTGAACGATCATGTAAACGAATCTGAATATTTACATCTGTCGTGTAATCCCTTCTCTCCCCTCTCCCCATTTGGCTAAAATATATGTATGTGTATGACCAATAAATAAGAATATCTGTTTTAAAGATTTCTTTTTTTATAATTTGTAAATGTATATATTATATTTTTTTCTTATCAATAAATTATAAGACATCAATTACGGCCGTAGTTTTTAACTTTAACCTAAAGATTAAACTAAAAAAAATACATCACTTTTTCTTTTTAACTGTCAGCATTGCTTTCTCCACGATCTTGATCCTGATCACCATCGTAAAATTCATTTTTCGGCTCAACCATTTTATCCTCTTCCGCCTGGGTTGTACGTACATCGGGGTCTTCTTTTTCTTCCTTAATATTACGCAATTCTTCCATATCGACAACATCGGGTGGTACTTGCACCATTTGTACACTGGGTGAATGTTGACACATCTTCAAGTTTTCGTAGACATGTTTTACAATCGCTTCCAAATATTGTTTTGAATTGGCATTTTCTTGTCGTGAATTAACATCCGGATGCAAAGTAAAATCAGGAGCGAAAAATTCCAAATATTCAGTCATAGGTAATTCATTGCTGATCGGTTCGTCTACCAACAATGAGGTTTCATGGGTCCAACATCTTGCCACATTGCGTAGTGTGTAACCGCCGCCGCCCACAACCAAAGTAGGAACATTAAATGTCTTGACAAATTCCACACAGGCTCCATGACCCCTGGTGCTCAGAGAAAAGCATCCCAAACGATCGCCAGCCAAAGAATCTGCGCCACATTGTAGAACAATTGCGGTGGGTCTATAGAAATCCATTACAGCCGATATAATGGGTTTGAAAACCTGAAAATAGCTTTGATCGTCTATGCCCTCCTTAAGCGGGACATTAACACTATAATAACGTCCCGATTCGGCACCAATTTCGTACATATCGCCCGTTCCCGGGAAAAAGTAATTGCCATATTTATGGAATGATGCTGTCATTACACGATCGGTGAGATAGAATGCCTCCTGTACTCCGTCACCATGATGTACATCAATGTCTATATAAAGAACACGTGGATTGTATTTCAATAGTTCTAATATTCCTATTACGATATCGTTGACATAACAAAATCCAGAGGCTTCAAATTTCTTGGCATGATGTAAACCGCCCGACCAGTTGATGCAAATGTCACTATGATTGTGATTAAGTTTCTGTGCACCTTCTAAGGATGCCCCTGTGTACATTGAACAGAATTCGAAGAGACCATCAAACACGGGACAATCTTCGCCCACACTAAAATGCGACAAATACTTTGTGTAGCCGACAGCTGTAAAATAAGCAGTAATTGAATTTAACTCTTTCGAAAAATTTAGAACACTACTTACAATTGCAGTGTATGTTTTGAGGGGTAACCTGTTGTAAGAATTCAATGTATTCCTCACTGTGGAATCTTAACATATCTTGGGCGCTGGCTCTAAAATGGAGAACAACAAATGTATTAACATACAATATAGTGCAAGTGCAGTTTGGGAAAATTTTGTTATATACACATATACTATAAATTATGTCTATTTGTCCTGATGACGCCAAAAAAGTAAAAGTCCCAAATTTATTCTTGCAGTACGGGAACAGACCACTAAATTGTATCCCATCAAAAATACACTACCACCATATTCCACACTTACTTGTAGGGCCGATATATTTTCATTTTCTTGTGTAACCCATAATTCATGACCAAACTGTGTGTCACCGATAAGCGATGTGGCTTCATTGGATGACCCGGACCATAGTGGAAATTTCCCACATCGGGATTGTAAAAATAGGAAACACGTCTTTTGCTTGTACTCGTCATTGTTCGCCCTAAAGTGTCCAACAGAGATCGATCCTTTTTATTCGTACTGAGACAATGTTTGCTTTATAAACAATATAATGACCAAAACTATAACAATCAAGAGCAGGCGGCGTGTAAGGGAGAAATCCAATTCATTCATAATAAGCTCACAAACATTAATTATATTTGAAATATCAGTAATTTTTTAAATATTTTTTATGAGAATTTACGCGAAAGAAGTCGATTATCCACAAAAAAATGTTTATTAGATCTGCTTCTTCTCTAGTTATGAAGTGCTAATGCAATGTGAATGGTTAACCCAACTATAAGTGAAACACCACACAACTATGGCCCACTTTACACTATTCGTCATGGCCATTTGTCATACAGTTTTTCTCTCTCAGTTGTAAATTGAGAGTAGAGTTGTTGATTTTGAAGTATTGCTAATTTTGGCATATCTACTAGATTTGCGTTCCCGATTTTTTAAATTATTTAGTACTCTGAGAGTGATTTTGAAATGATTCCCTTTTACTAGCTTTACTATTAAAAAAGTACTGGAACAGACCAAATGTAATAAGGAGTATTTAAGCTGAGTTTGATGCATTTTGGAGGCGAAATACAGACATTTTGGGTGTCAGTCTGTCTCTCAAGAAAAAAATATTATAAATTTTGGTGAAAAGCCAAATTTGCTGATGAGCCGCTTGACAGTGAAAAACTCATCTACAAAAAATATTTTTTTCAAAATTATCGTAGGCATGATTTGAAGCATGGTAAAATTATAAAAGGTAACAGCAAATCCCAGATGATTTCATTCCAACGTAATACTAGTGCCAATATGAATTTGACAAATTATGTTTTTAAAAATCACACAACAGGAAAATTTGGGACGCATTCAATTCGAAATTGTTCTTTATTAAATGTCCAACCGTATTCAATTTACCCAATCTGGCTGCTGGGAAAGTTTGAGGAAGCAAATCTTTCTTCAAGGAACAACTCGCTATTATCAGCATTTTCATATGTGTTACACATATATGGCAATGGATCAATTATAGGAAAGATGTGGAAGCGATAAAAATATAAATTTGATAGATTTTCATTCATGTTTTTCAATTTTTATTTTGAGGATTCATGGTATAATAATAGAAGGTAACAGCAAGTGTTGTTGTACAAAAAACGATACAACAACCACATGGAAATTTGTTTTTGTAAGTTCTACTAGTGTCAACTCATTTGACAGAAAAATGTAAACAAATAAACAAATTATCATCAAATTATTTTTATTTTGAAAATGAAATATTTTCGAATCCTCAAAATAAAAATTGAAAAACATGAATGAAAATCTATCAAATTTATATTTCTATCGCTTCCACATCTTTCCTATAATTGAGCCATTGCCATATATATGTGTAACACATCTGAAAATGCTGGGAATAGCGAGTTATTCCTTGAATAAAGATTTGCTTCCTCAAACTTTCCCAGCAGGCAGATTGAGTAAATTGAATACAGGAGCACATTTAATAAAGAACAATTTCGAATTGAATGCGTTCCAAATTTTCCTGTTGGGTGATTTTTAATGTAAACGTACTATTATTGTACCATGTGTGTAAATAGTAAAATTATTTAATTCATTTTTTTAAATATATTTATTTAAAAACATATTCTGTGCTTATTAAACTAAATAGAAATCATCATTGTATTTTTCAATATTTTTTAATTTAATTTTTATCAACACAGAACTATGTTAGCGAAAAAAAAAAAACAAAAAATAACAATGAAAGAGGGAGATTCAAAGGAACTGTCTAGGAGCCGGAACTATATGTAGCAAAGGAACTATATGGAGGAAAGTAACTACAATAAGAAACTAGTAAACGTAAACAAAGCCCAAGTTTTTGACATTAGACTTGAGAAAAACAGCAGACTTTTGCTAGCTGGGTGATCTTATTAATAGATCTTGGCCTTATATTAAGTGCGTTCGTTTACTTTCCCAGTAACATTTACTCAGTAAAGGGCTAAGCAGAATGCTCGCGTTGAGCCATCCGTTGCGTTATGTGTTATCGAAAATACAACAACCACAAGGAAACGATAACACAAACGCTCGAAGTTGATGTGCGCTGCGCTTCGGAGTTAAATACATTTTAACCTTTTGCGTGCGTTAACGCGATAACAAAAAACGCTCAACGCGAACATTCTGTTGAGCCCTTAATGCGGTGTACACACTATCATTTTTGAATGGCACTCTTGCCCAAATTTTGCTTGTTTGATAGTGTGGCCTCACATGTTTGTCATTCATCAGGCAACCACAAAAATATTTATGGTTGTTGGACAGTCAGTAATCGATAAAAAAGTTGACACTCAAAAATGATAGTGTGTACACCGCTTAAGAATTTGCATAGAGTAAAAAACCGAATTTTTTCCTTCTCAAGAGAGAAAATTGCAAAAGGTAAATGAACAACATTCACAACAACAAACAATTTGGCGCAAACAAAATAGCAGCATTTTTATTAGAAAAATGGATAACAAGCGGAAAATTTATGTTGTTTATAAATACTTGCCTTCATCCTTTTTTATGTTTAATAATACAAAATCAAAATAAAATTCACAAAACTTGATAACAATTTTGCTGTTTTTTTACAAAACATAACAAAACAGCTGATTAAATTTCAGCTGATGGTATAAGATAATTCTTTTTGAGTAAATTTTTCCTTGTAAGTATTTGCAAATACTTAGTAACTCAATTGTCAAATCTGCCCTCTCAACTCATGCTCTTTTACTGGACTTTTGGGTAAACCAAGGTGTATTTAATAAGGTGTATGCATCAGCTACAACAACTAACATTTTACAAAAACAACATTGCTGTTATAGAAATTAAATTGTCATGTTGACAATTAGTTTTTGACAAAAACAAAATAAAAACAATTATCCATTTATGTTTATTAATTTGTGTCAAGAACTTTTCTTTGAAGAATAATTAAGGAATTTGTTTTTTTTTTGGATTTTTGGCAATTTAAAGTTTAAGACCCGGTCACGAATTCTTTTGAAATGTTTCCAACGTGTAGCCCTTGGTTCCTGGTGATATTGCTTATATTGTAAATTACAATTTTTTTCGAAGAATTGCCTTCAAATTTCGCCTCCTTAATGGAAGTTTGGTGGACGTAAATCCCCGGCCAAAGACTAAATCAAGGAAATTGTGTTGCCCTTGTGCAATCTGTCTATAGGAGAATATCAAAGACTTTCACCTTTGGATTGATTTTTGGAATCTGCCTATTCCAATATAGGCTACGTACGTGTAGCTAGGATTTATGAACAGATTTCAATACGGGATACAAAACTTAAACTTTGAATCAAATCAGCGAAAAGGTTTAAAACTGATTTAAGCCTAAGTTTGCTTTTCGTCCCTCTCTATGAAAATATTTTTTATCAATATCCTAAATTTAAATTCAATTTTTGTAAATCGTAATTAATTGTTGAAAATGTTTTTGACAATTTACTTTACAAACAATAAAGAAAAAAGTTTAAAACCATATGATTGTCACTTACACCTTATTTAATACACCTTGGGGTAAACGAACAACATTTCGTAATAATTTGTACAAATTATTGAGTAAACGAACGAACCTATTATTATACCATGATTCCACTTCTATTTCTTTTTTGTTTTGATTTAAATTTTTGTTTTTGTAAATATTTTTGTTGTAAACAATGAATAGAAAATAAAGAGAGAGTACTTAATATGGTTTCAAGTAACCAGTAACCAGCCCGCGTGAATGCGTTCCACGTTCCACCAACAAACTTGACAACATACGAAATACAAGAAAATTGTTGTGTTGTGATAAAAGTATTAAAATCCAGCCATTAAAATTAGGAAAAATACTTTAAAATTATTTTCTTTTTTAACAGATATAGAATGCAAATGAGCTCGAATATTTCAATAGAACGTAAAAAAGTTGACTGCAATGCCTTGCCAAAAGGCTGGCAGAGAGAAGAGGTGTTGCGAAAGTCTGGAATCTCGGCAGGAAAAGTTGATGTCTATTATTATAGGTAAGCAAGCGATGGCTGGAATAAAATCAGAAAATTCTTTGAGTATATTAACAGAAAGCACGTAAAACCCACCTGTAAAAAATATTTATTACTTGAAATATATCTACACATACACCAATAAAGAAACAATATTCACCTTTTGTTCAATAAAAACCTCATATGCGACTTTACCAACTTTTTTGATTACCCCTTCCCAAAAATATAAAATCTACCACAACAATACAAAATACTCCCAACAAAAAATGCCTACGTATTTTTGCTGCTGATGTTGCTACTCTCCTGCGAAAAAAAGCCCCACCGGAAAACGCATTGATAGTAAACCCCAATTAGCTCGTTATTTAGGAGATGCCATAGACATAAGCAGTTTTGATTTCCAAAAAGGCAAATTTACAATGCAATTACCACCACCATCTATTTCGTTATATCGTTGCTTGCCAGGAACATCGATCAGTGCTGGTAGTAGTGGTATTGGCGGCAGCAGTATTACAATAGTGCCACAAACATCCGTGGCTGCGGGACACTCTTTAAAACGCAAACATAAATCGCCGCTACAAACAGCTACACCCTCAAGCAGTTATAATATATTGGGTTCAACTTCTGCAACGACTTCAACGTTGTCGTCGTCCTCGTCCGCAGCATCATCATCTTCGTCGTCAGCTTCCTCGAATATATCATCATCTAATCTTAAGCAACAACAACAGTTAGAATTCAGGTAGAAGAAGGAGCCTACTAGAGAGGCAAATTGTGTTGCATGTCATGTCTTCATGAAGAGTTCTTATTAGAGATACATTCATATCCATATATAAATATATATACGTATAGTGATTGGCAAATTGAAGAGAAATTGTTTTATATCACAAAAAAGTGATGACATGTTTTTTTCGTTACAACAACATTGGCTCCTTAAATGGATAAAAAATCGGCATTGTGATTTGCACTTATTTTTAAGTTTTTTTTTTCCTAATTGCATGCTGTTCCTTCTTTGAGATCATAACACAATGGTTTGGAGGTATGACTCCAAATTGTTGTCTTATTATGTTTACAATGAAATGGGGTTAAGATGTGTACCAACTGGAAAAATGAAAGACCATAATAACCCAATTTCATTGCAAAATTTAGTTTATCGTTTATGTAATAAGTTGTTATGCCCTGAATCACGATTTTTTTAATTAATAAATTTTATTTCATCTTTCCCAACAGTCGTGCTATGCGTACAGATGCTTCCCTGGTTCCACCCATACGTCAAACCGCCTCCATATTTAAACAACCCGTCACTGTGGTACGCAATCATGAATGGAACAAAGTCAAACATGACACCAAACAGGTGGCCCAAGACAAACCGAAACAGCTATTCTGGGAGAAGCGCTTAGAAAATATGCGCGCATGTCATGCCACCGGCGAAGAGGTTGATGATATTGTTTTACCAAAGAGTATTAAACCATTGGGTCCCAATGTACACGAACAGACTGTTATGCAATCGTTGGCCACAGCATTGCATGTTCTGAATACACCCGTGACGGGACAAACTGCCACTAAGACTGAATTTCAAAAAAACGCCACAGCATACATTAATCCCGATCAGCCGTTAATGCAAGGTGTACTCATATCGGATGATGATATACGACGGCAAGAGGATCGTGTAAATATGGCACGGAGAAAATTGCAGGAAGCCTTAAAGGCTTGAATTTCATTTTTCCTTTAGTTTTTTTCTTGGTTTGCGAATATTTCGCAATATTATAATATGATATGATTAGCCATAAGTTTACATATTTGACAAAAAATATTTTCAAATAAAAAGAAAAAAATACACATTTTTATTATTTCTAAAAAACTAAATTATTGTCTTTGAAAATGAAATATAAATTGCTCTTTTAATTCCGTATTAATTTTATTGAAATAAGCCACAACGACTCTAATGGTCCCGGTTCAGAATCTCTGTGCAAATTTTTCGATATGGTTTTCAATATTTGTCAAAAAAATATTACATCTCGCTACTTTACAATAGATGGCGTCCTCATCACATGGGACAGGATACAGCAGAAGAATTTTCTACTTAGCTGTAATGAGAATAATGAGATGGCGTTTCTTTTAAAACCCGTATACTCCAAAGACGAGTGACAGGACAAAAAAAAAAAACATAGAATATTTGTAGTTCAATAAATGAATGTTGGAAATATAATTTAAACGTCACGTTTATAATCCGCTAAGGTCGTAAAATATTCTTAAAAAAATTCACGTTTATCATTCTTCAGATCCACATAAAGTATTTGGTAAAAAAATCACGATTATGGTCCTTCAGGTCCAAACAAAATATTCCTTAATAAATCGTAGTCTATTGTCCTTCAAGTTCGCATAAAATATTCATTAACAAATCGTACAGCTTTATTCTGGATATTCGCTTGGGAGATATTTCGCTTGTGAAAAAAATTCACTTTCACATTCTCGTATTATTCTGAATGTATAGGGAGAAGTAAAAAATGCGAAATGCTTATTATAATTTTCGAAAATGGTGGTTGAAAAAAGATTCGTGTTGCCATATTGTAATTTTAGTTGTAATCTGTGTAGCCCGCTTGTAAAGGAAATCGGTGATGTTCAGAATAAGGTTGATTGTTTTAAAAATCAACGCTTAGAGTCCTTCCGATGCACTTAAAAAAAGTCCACGCTTACTATTCTTTAACCCCAATGATTTAAATCTCATATCAATATTAGAATAAAAACAATATCTTTCAAATTTATACCTTTGCTCATACATATATCCTTCCATCCAAACAAATCAATTCATTTTTGGAAACTGTTGGACTTTTGATTGTAAAAATGCAATTATTTTATCGAAGAAGTCAATGATATTTTATTTAAGAGGAGATTCTGCTGCGTCTTAAATCAACAGCCAAATTTCTGCAATTCAATAGGTGCAACATGTCGTATGAACCATTTCATATGCTGGGAAAAGTGTTGGAAATCGAGTCATCAATTCGTGCCCAATACATATATCCTTCCATCCTTTAAAATGATCCAAACAAATCAATCCATTTTTCATTATACATTTTTTTATTTCAATGAAATTATTTTAATTTGCAAAAAGTATCGAAACAAGTAAAATATTATATTTCTTGTACTGTATACAGCCAAGTGTTTGGCATTCAAAGTAAACTAAAAATCCAAGAAACAACATAATTCAAAAATAATAACTAAAAGATGCAAAGCAAGCCAAAAACAAAACAAAAAATGCAATAATTATTTCTCAATAAAAATATTAATTAATAATATGAAATGAATAATTTTATTTTAATAAATTTTTTCTTTCGATAGGCAAACTAAAAAACCATTTATGCAATGTAGGTGTGTGTGTACGTGGTGTCTTATTAAATAAAACCCACGGAAAAGTAGAAGAAAAAGGCGAAGGCAGTTTTTTTCTTTTGTAATTTTGTCTTGTTGATCCAATTATCTATTCTAATCCATATCATCTTCATCCATATCATCATCGTCATCATAATGTATGCCAACATCATAATGATCATTCGAACTGTAGAACTGAAATGAAAGTATTTAATGAATTATTTCAAAATCATAAAAAATTGTGTTATATTGGTACCTTTTTATAAAATATTTTCATAGCTGCAAACGAACCCATAGCTACCACCGCTCCAATACCAGCCAATATTTTCGTTTTCTTTTCCGATTCTAGGAACTTGCGTTCGGTTGCCGTCAACATGGGATCATTGGGCGAAGCATTATCTTTGCTGGTATTAATCGAATTGAATGCCTCCTTCTTAAATATATCACGAGATATTCGATTAATAAAATTCACTAAATTTGGACAGCCTTTTAGGTGATTTTGTATGGGATTTGTGGGTAGAGTGATTTTAAAAAGTATCGCTAAATAGGAAAATACTATGGCATCAAATTCACTATATTTGTCACCAAAGAACCATAAATTGCGTCCCAAACGTTTCGAGAGTACGTTAATGCATTTCTTGGCCTCACTGGTAATCTAAAAGAAGATGATAGAAAAAAAAGAGAAATGAAAATTAATCGTTTTGAATTTTTTTAGCAAAAGTTCTTCTAGGGTGCCCTTATTATAATGATAAACTTTTTTCATGTGGAATTCCATATTTTCTGAGATGTGGGCCTACAAAATTCCACGTGGGTTTTTGTATTTTCCCATTTATTTTTTATTATTTATTGGACAAGTTTTGGAAATTGAGCCATCAATTCGTGCCCAATATGAGTTGAGACGGTTGCACCATCCTGATCTTATTAATTATTAAAATTCTAATTACAAATTTTACTTACATATTCTACATTGTGATTTTCCAATTTATCATCGATATCAAAACCGCCCATTATCGATACAATATCATGGGCATCCTTTTGATACGTGGACGGATAATAGAAATTGAATGGGAATGGAGTTCGTTTGGCATATAATGCACGGGTTATATCGAAATTATTCGGTTCGCCATATAAATAATAGTGATAGTAGACATGCAGTTTTGTAAATACCCAATTTGCAAAACATTCTGAGAGGTGGAGATCCTTTTTGCGAAGTTCGTGATTTATGGCATAACCCTATAAATAGAATTTAAGAAGCGGTAGGTAACATTAGGTCATTACACTCAAAGAGTATTATATGCACTTAGCCTTATTTGGCTGCATGTTAAGACATGTTGCAACATTCTTTGCTTTTTTCCAAATTCAGCGGCACACACTCACCTCTTTGTCTAATAGTTTCTTTATCTGTCTGTAACCTACAAATTTTTCATCGCCTATTTGTAGATACGGCAATTTGCCGGCACCGGAACGCAAGGGGTTGGCATTTGTTTCAATAACGACTGGACAGCGGGTAAATTTGATCAAGCACTAAAAAATGAAAGACAAAACAAAATTCAAGATAATCAAAAGACATTATTGACCACAATTCATATTTAAATACTCTCAACTCCAATTGGATAACTTTTTTTTAAGATTATCCAAGGATTTGATGTGGAGTATTTAGTATGATGCAACTAAAAGCTATCATGATGTTCGGAATTACTACTCTTGCTAGAGACAAGACACATACCAGAACGCGCAAACACTCGAAATCAATGGATGGCAGCCCCCATTCACCTTTGTACACATATAATACAGCACCTAATCTCATATTTCTTTAATGTCCACCAATTATCCTTTCAATTTCCAATTAGGAACATTTATTTTTGCTAGAGGGGTTTATGGCTTTTTTATTAAAGTAGCAGCAGCAGTAGCAGCGTGAAGAACGTACAATAAATCACGTATACACACACATGCACATACAAAGTAATGTTTTCCAAAAAAAGTGCGAATGACATTTGGGAAAATCAGCTGTTTTTTGGAAATCAGCTGAGGATTTTTGTGGCATGTGCTGTGGGAATCTTTAAATGAAACGTATGGCAAAATGGGTTCAACGAGGGGTGATTATTAAGTAAAGTAGAAAATAGGCAGGAAATAATTTCGAGATACGCCGTATCATGGCATAATAATTACAAGGTAGGGCGGGCACAGCTGCTTGCAATTTTTTTCTCAAGGTGGCTTGTTCCAACAAGTCAAAATACATATTTGTGTATATCGACGCCTCCGAACCATAGTATGCTTTTTAGATACTACGGTCATTAATTTATATTCACTGAAATTTTGGTAATCATCGGCCAATCCAAACCAAAGTTATAAGCAAAAATGTACTTAGCATGGCACGTACGATTAAAGAAACATCCATACTTTGAAAGCTTCTACTGAAAAACTCACTTTTCAGACTTAGCATACTATGGTTCGGAGGCGTCGATATGTGTGTTTTGTTTTGAATACTATGTCAAATAAATTCAAAATAAATTGAAATTTATTTAAATTTAATTGAAATGAAAATTATGTTTTAACGCGTCCGTCTGGAAGTAATTATTTTGTTATGGATGAAATAAATATTTTATGGTCGGTGAAAATCAATCAGTCCGGTCATGAATATTCGTAAGGAATCTTATCGCACCATTTTGGGAACTGCAAAGAATAATCTATTATATTAGTGAGGATTTAAAAAAAATCCTGGTCAGAAAGTCACCGCTGGATGGGTATTTTTTAAGCTTTAGAATGATACTAGAACTTCCGAACTACGCCATGATTACTAGTGTTTGTCCACGCAGTGGTTTCTCCTTTGCTCCGATGGATGGGGAATTATCTCCGATTATATAATTATACGGTATTGTTTTACAGCGTGGTTGGCTGCATATATATGAACGCTATTCAGACCTGCTTAATAGATCTTTCGATCCGTATGTACAATGGAGTCTCTCTTTTTATATCATGGAGATCGCCCTTAACATGGGCCTGGAAAGTTTGTCCTAAGGTTATTGCAAGTATGATCCCATAACTAACACACACTCAAGTGTTGCATCGAGATAATATGACAGAGAAGACATATTCTTGCTGTTCTTATAAAATCGTCTATATCTATATGAATGTCTTTCAGACCTGCTTGGTAGGCCTTTTGATTTAGTGGTTCCCGTATGTACCATTGGAGCCCTCTTAAGTAAGTTTTTCATTAAGATAGTTTGCCTGGGGAGACATCTTCTTGCAATTCTTATGTCGTGATCTATATCTATATGAATGGGCCTCCAAAGTTTTATTGTGATACTTGTATTTTCCCATGTATCTTCTTTTAAATCTTTTTTTAATAATAGGGGTAGGTGTCTATTTAATTATAATATCGAAGAAGTTTTTATATCCTGTGATATAGTCCTCTGAAATTCGGTAAGTTTCTTCGAACGTTTTTATTGTATTTAATATTGACCAATGCAATATCTCTGGAAATGTGATTTCTGCAAGAAGAAAGAGTATATGATTGTAATCATAGCCCCACCATAATAATGGTACCAAGATCTATTAATCAGGTCACCCAGGTAGCAATGGAAATCGGAAAACAGCTGTTTTCTCAAGTCTAATGTCAAAAATTTGAACTTTGTTTACGTTTTCATAATGGAAGTCACAATAATGCATTTTGACAGAAAACTTGAGTGGCTGCTGATATCCAGCTGGTCTCCCTGGGTGACCTTATCTATAGGCCTTGAATGACGCACATATTACAAATTTAAGTTTAATTGCAAGTAATTACAATTTTCCATCTCTGCTTCAACGTAACTAGTTGTAACATCTCTGCATTGAAATGTCATCAGTGAACTCTTTATACCCGTTCTGGTATAACAGCTGATTGTTGTAAACATTGCAATTCGTCTCGTTTGTAAAATAAAATAAATGAAATAAATAAAAAAAATAAAAAATAATTTAAGATGTTTTTAGTGAATTATAGTAGTACGTCAGAATCGGAAACTGAAGAAAATGGAAAAGAGGATCATAGTCAGCAATTAGAAAAGAAAAAGTAAGTGCTAAATATAAACCAATACAAACATCTAAAACATATGATTACACTGTGCTTAATAAAAATATGTTCAATTATGGTCTCCGTTAAATGTTTTGGCGGGAAATTTTGCAATTGAATTTCAGACGAAACGTTTATAACGGCAGTCAAGGTACTAGCGAAATTGGTGGTTATAAGCGATATTAGTCCCTTTGGAAACAATTTTTGCATGCTTAATAACAATACATAACAAATTCCTTTTTAATTTTCTTACGAATCCAATCTTTAGAGTAATCCTTCCCAAAGCATCAACATTACTTGGTAAACGAAAATTGCCTTCACCGGATGATCAAGTCATAGACGATCCCTCACAACACGAAGGACGTATACGAAGTTTTAAACATGAACGAGGTAATTGGGCCACATATGTTTTTGTGGCAACACCAAAACAACTGCTAGAAGATGTACAAGAAATGTGCCTCAAGCAGCTGGACACTAAATATGATTTTAAAATATGCACTGATCCGCATATTAGTTTAAGTCGAACGGTTATTTTACAATATCATTTTATTGAATCGTTTGTAAAAAATCTCGAAGAAGAGTTGACGGCAAATGGGAGGTAAGGTAATAATATCCTTTTAAAAGTTTTTAATTGCCATTTCATAATTTGTTTGTAGATTTACTATATCTCTGAGCCAACTGAAAGCCTATACAAATGCGGAACGCACACGTACCTTTGTGGCCATTAAAGTCGATGATATTCATTTGGAAAAAATGCTTGAAATTTTAAAGAAAGTGGATCAGGTTATGCTGAATTTTAAATTGGCAACATTTTATGAGGTAAAGTCTGTGAAATTTTAATATGCGATTAAGTATTTTGTTTTATAAAACAAATTTGTAGGTGCCTCTAAGGAAAAAATGAGATTCTTATCTATGGTAGATTTTTGTATACTGATCACAACAACATGGAAAATACATAAAAACACAAGGACGACACAAAATTTATTTTAAAAACATATTTTGTCAAGGATTAGTAGGCGTGCATTTTTAAAGAATATTTTCCAAGGATTAGTAGACCAATAGGTGTGGATTTCTAAAGAATATTTTGTCAAGGATTGGTATACCAATAGGCGTGGATTTTTAAAGAATTTTTTGTCAAGGATTGGTAGACCAATAGGCATGGATTTTTAAAGAATATTTTGTCAAGAATTAGTAGACCAATAGGCGTGGATTTTTAAAGAATATTTTGTTAAGAGTTAAACGACCAATCGACGTGGGTTTTTTTGTCAAGGGTTTAGAGACCATATAAAGACTCCCTCCAGCTCGTATAAAAAAACCCTCCACCTTATATAAAAAGACTCCCTCCAGGTTATTTATGGAACTCTATATGTTTGAAAGTAGACAATTATTTTGTTGTAATCAGTAAAGTTTCAGATTTCTTCTAAGTGGTACCCTTAAAGTTAAGATACATATTTTATTCATATATTTTTGTTTCTTTTCAGGATCCCTCATTCCACATTAGTATATTATGGTGCCTTGGAGATTATGTCGATGAAATAACAAAACAATTACCTGATATTCTTCATAGCATACGAGAATTACTACCAATAGAATTACGAATTGAAAAACTATATTGTAAAAGTGGTTTTAAAGAATTTAGTTTTGATCTAAAATAATATGAAATATAAATGCGGAATTTATATACAACAAAAACATCAATGTTACGATATTTGTGCTTCCAAAAATTTTATTTTTATTTTTTCGTCAATTTGTATCTTAAACCTATATCAATTAAGTTTTCTTCTTTCCATTGCCCTGTTTGGCAGCCAAGGCCTGTTCCTCTAAACGTGCCTCTTCTTCGATTTCCAATAGTTTTTGTCTACGCCGCCCCAATGGAGTTTTTGCCCACCACGATTCATAGGCTTCCTCTTCTTCACGATAGACTGGATCCCGGGTGCTGAAAAAAAGATCAATTAATGAAAATATTTTTGAAAGACAATAAATTTTAATAAAAATGTGTGACCTACCACAAAACATTTATTAATTCCGCATGGGTCAGCGGTTGAGATCGCAACTGTAATTTACGTTTACATGTCAGTACTTCTTTGAGACAGGCATTAACCGCTCCAATCGTATAGCCATCGGAAATTTTTGCCATAACGCTGCAATCTAAATTTGATAAGCCACCAGAATATTCACTGGGGGAGGACATGAAAGAAAAGTTTTTACAAAAAAATAAATTATGAAAAAGGTATTAAAAATTAAATTATGAAGATATATCAAAATTTCATTTGTCGCGGAAGTCTGCATCCTCCCGGTTGTTAAAAATGTCATCCGTCTGTAAAGACACCATTCAGCTCGTCTATAAAAGACTACAATCCCGCCTATAAATCCTGTCATTGAACCTACCTTAAAAGTGTCTTCCAAGCATGCGACAGCGCACCATAATCCGGCCTTGGTATATAAATAAAACGATTATAGGTTTGTTGTAACAGCTTTTGATCTGCTTCCCAAGGTAAATTTGACGTGCCAATAAACAGCACCCGATCTTCAGGAGCTATATTTCGTATTAACTTTGGTAAATCTTTTTTTAAACGTTTCGGATCAGTACGATCCGTTTTGGGTATTTTCTTCATGAATGGTTTCTCGGCATCACCCATATAGATGACAGCAGGTTGTAATAATCTTGATACCTTCAGGACCAAGTGGATCAGCATTATCAAACCCGATTTACCAGGATATTTTCCGACAATATTTGCCGGAGTTAGATCAAAAAGCACTGCACCGACCTCCGTGCAAATGGCATGCAGTAAAGTCTTCTTTCCCGATCCTTTGGGACCCACCAACAATATCGAACGTATTAGCGGGCATGAATTGTGTATTTGTTCCGAACCCAATGGTAGGATACAATATTCGGTTAATATTTGACGTATATCACCGGGTGAGGGTTTTATACCATCACGAGCGGTAATGGCTTTGTCGCCAAGAAATTGATTCAACCTTGTTTCGGGATATTTCCTTATAATGCCATTTGTAACCAGTTCTTCATACAATGATTCGGTGGTACGATCGGGTGTTAAATCCTTCTCCTTTTTCTTTTTACTTTTCTTACCGGATCGCCGTGCCTTTTTATTATTTTTCTTGGCCTTCTTTCCGATGGCAGTCTGTGGGGAGAGAGAAATATTATTAATTTATTTTTTATGTGTTCTGGATTTCTTTGCTAACCTGTAGTAGCTCCAATTCTTGCCGCATAACATCATCGACCACCTTTCGAAATTCTTTTTCTACTTCATCGTATTTTTCGGCATAAATCATATCGTAATAATGACTCTGTCTCATATTGCCCGATTCATCTTTTTCCCGCCAGACCTCATTGAATCTGGAAAATAAAATAAGACCAAAAAGCAGATCCTTAGATGTTAAGTGTAACTCCATACAGCTCATCTATAAATAATTCCTCACTCAGTTCGTCTACAAAAAGTCAGTTTAGTTCATCTATAAGGACTCCATTCAGTTTGTCTTTAAAGTCTTCCTTCAGCACTTATATAAAAAATTTCGTTGTATGGTAGACTAAATATTTACCCTATATAGGTACCCAAAAAATTCCTCCTTCATGTTCCCTTATCTCATGGCTCATCTTTATAAACCGTCTTCTAGTCTTTCCATACTTCAAACCCTTAAATTACTATATTTATTTTTTTAACCACCCACCTTACCTTTCAATTTCCGCTCGTATATCTGGCAAACACATCGATTGTGCCGGCTGCAAACCTCCACCCTCTTCGTCGGGATTTTCATTGACATTCAAATCACCACTGCGTGCTGGTGATTTTGATTTATCTTTCGTTTTTCGTGATTCTTTAGATGATCTGGCCGATGATCGGCTTACCTCACTTTCTGTACCCGGCCTACTAAAGATATGCAATGAACCACCTTGATCTTCGGTTGGGAATTCTGGTAGTTTTCCCGTTTTTTCATAACAATCTTTAATCCAGGCACGAATTTCATCGGCAATATCCTCGGTCATATTCGGTCCATGTTTGGTACGGATTTCTTCACGTACCAATTCCAATGTGGATTCATAGTGTTGTTGGAAGGCTTCTTGGGTGGCATAGCGACGTTCGTAGATCTGCAATTGTTTATGAAATTAGGAGAATTTATATTATTCTAAAGGAATTTTCGGGGGTTTATAAAGACACCATCCAGAAAAAAAGCCCCTTACAGTTTGTCTATAAAAACATACTTCAGTTCGTCTATAGAGACTCCTGAACTTCATATCGTCTTTGAAGACTTCCTTACCTTCAGCTCATGTAAAAAGACTCCTTGACCTTCAGATCATCTCTGAAGACTCGCAGACCTTCAGATCGTCTATAAACCCACCTCGATCTTCATCTCGTCCATGAAGACCCCTGATCTTAGGATCGTCTATAAAGACTCCCTGACATTCAGGTCGTCTATAAAGACACCCTGACCTTCATATCTTCTATGAAGACACCCTGACGTTCAGGGGGTCTATGAAGACTACCAGACCTTCAGAGGGTCTATGATGACTACCAGACCTTCAGATCTTCTTTAAACCCTTCAGTTCGTCTATGACTCCCAGACCTTCAGCTCTTCTATAAAGATTTCTGGTCGTCTATAAAGGCACCTTGACATTCAGATCGTCTATGAAGATTCCCTGACATTTAGATTACCTATGAACACCTTTGACTTTCATCTTGTCTATAGGGACTACCCGACCTAAACTACCCCAATAAAGACTCCCTGGCCTTCAACTCGTCTGGGGAGACTCCCTGTCGTTCAGCTCGTTTATGAAGACTCCTTGACCTTCAGCTCGTCTCTGATAAAATCTTCGCCCACCTGGTCTATAAAATCTCCAGTAGATCTTCTATAGAAACTCCCCTTCTTATCATCTTAATCCTACATACCTCATTCAGTTTTTCCACCTTCTCGGCCCGGGCCTTCAGCACCGATGGTGGTGGTGGTACCATTCCAATCAAAATCATTTCATCCAATTTACGACGTCTTGTCTTACGACGATCCGTATGACCCCTCCACATCTTTTGTATTTTCATGGCAGCCAATAGCCCAGCATCATTCCGATCTTTATCTTTTTCCTCATTTTTCCCCTTCTCCTTGAGCATTCGGATTTCTTTCATAAAATGCGCCCTTAGGCGGCCCTGACGAGCTCTCTCATGCATTTGAATGAGACGAATAGCTTCAATTTCCGTTATCTGTTCGACCACGGGATTCTCTTCAACCCAACCCAGCTTTACGAGGATATCATGCATCGTTTTATTACGCTGTTCAATTTCTTTGCGTCGTTCGCGTAGAAAATATCTTGGCACCCTTAGCTCAGTATCAATGGGTGTTAGTTTCAGACGTTCGACTACCGCATCATTATAACTGAACTCCATCAGGTCAATATTGACCAAGTCATGTTTCAATTCAATTATCCTGCCCAGACAAGCATTCAGAATGTTACGAATCAATTGTCGTTTTTGCGGCTGGATCATCTTGTCGTAGACCTCCTCTAGGCGATTTGCAATGCAGATATATTTCAGATAGAATTCATAGGTGGTAGCCTGCACAATGGCCTTGCGGGAACTTTCATCCAATACCACCAAATCCGTTCCACCCTGCGCAGCAATCGTCGTTTCAACATCTTGATTTTGTCGCTGGAAATCTTCAATGGCCAGCAGTTCCAGTTCATGTTGAGATAAATGCCAAATTTCATTGTAATAACTATTGGACATTGCGGAATAGGTAGCGGGTGATGTGTCTGGTCTGGTAAGCTGCTTCCTTGTGAATGTACTATTTAAGTTGTTAGTACAGATGGTTGAAACCGCTTCCAGTTACTATGGTTCCCCTTGGGTTATTGTGATACTGCAAACAATAACAACATCTGCTAGTGGTGGTGGGAAACAACTCACCACACCTGTGGAGGGTGCCCCAAGAATTCAAAACAAATGAAACGAAGAAAGAAATTAGAATGGATGGGAGATTCTTAAAGAAACAGATAGGGGAAATTATTATCTTTGGGAGTCTGAACCGGGGAGTCTTTATAGACGAACTGAATGTTAGGGAGTCTTTATAATCCAGTTGATGGTCAGGGAGTCTTTACAGACGATTTGAAGGTCTGCGAGCGGAAGGTCAGGGAGCCTTCATAGACAATCTGAAGGCCAGGGCGTATTTATAGACGACCTGAAGGTCAGTGAGTCTTTATAGACGAAGGTCAGAGAGTTGAGCTAAATGTCAGGTTCTCTTCATAGACGATCTGAAGGTCAGAGTGGGATTATAGGCGATCTGAAGGCCAGGAAGTCTTCATAGACCACCTGAAGGTCAGGGAGTCTTTATAGAAGAACTGAATGTCCGGGAGTCTTTATAGACGGGCTAAAAGCCAGGTTGTCTTCATAGACGAACTGAAGGTCAGGAGGAGTCTTCATAGACGATCTGAAGGCCAGGGAGTCTTTATAGAAGACCTGGATCTGGTAAACGATCTAAAAGGTGCCCCTAGACGACCTGGAGGGAGATTTTATAGACGATCTGGATGGAGTTTTTTATAAACCCCTGGAAATTCCCTTAGAAATAAGTTCTCCTTCTAATTTCATAAACAATTTCAGATCTACGAACGTCGCTATGCCAACCAAGAGACCTTACAAGAACACTATGACTTCACCTTGGAATTGGTGCGTGAAGAAATTCGAACCAAAGATGGACCGAATATGACCGAGGATATTGCCGATGAAATTCGGGAATGGATTAAAATTTTTTATGAAAAACAGTGGAAAACTTCCTGAATTCCCTTCCGAAGATCAAGGCGGTTCGTTGTATATCATTAGTAGGCCGGGTACAGAAAGTAAAGTTAGCCGATCTTCGGCCAGATCATCAAAGGAATCACGAAAAAGGAAAGAGAAATCCAAATCTCCAGCACGCTGTGGTGATATGAATATCAATGAAAATCTCGATGAATGGGGTGGAGGTCTGCAGCTTGCACAATCGATGTATTTGCCAGATATATGAGCGGAAATTGAAAGGTAAAGTGGGTGGTTAAAAACAATTAAAAATTTAATAGCCTGAAGAATGGGCCCGAAGAAGGTTTATTAAGGCGACCAATAAGTTTAGGAAACCTGAAGGAGGACTATTTGGGGTACCTAAAAAGGCAAATATTTAGACAATCGTAAGATGTACTGAATGGAGTCTTTATAAAAAGAAAAAAAAACTGAACTGAATTTTTGTAGACAAATTTAATGAGGGAAAATTTTTAAAGATAATTTGGATGGAGTCCAACATAACTTCTAAGGCTCCTCTTGCTGATTTTCTTCACTTTTAAAATTATGAATCGGTGAATATTAAACAAAGTCATTATTACGATATGATTTATGTCGAAGAACACGATGAAGTTGAAAGAAGATTTCCGAAAGGTGGTCGATGATGTTATGCGGCAGGAATTGGAGCTACTACAGGTTGGCAAAGAAATTCATATTACAAAGCAAACTAAATTGAAATTTAATAAATATTTTCCCCCTGCTCTCCCCACAGACCGGAATCGGGAAAGAAGGCTAAGAAAAATATTAAAAGGGCAAGGCAATCCGGTAAGAAAAATGAAAAAAGATTTAACACCCGATCGTACCACTGAATCGTTGTATGAAGAATTGATTACAAATGACATTTTAGGGAAATATACCGAAACAAGGTTGAGTGAATTACGACAAAACCATTGCCGCTCGATATTGGTATAAAACCCTCACCCGGTGATATACGCCAAATATTAACGAAATATTGTATCCCACCATTGGGTTGGGAACAAAAACATAATTCATGTCTCACCTTATACGTTCGATATTGTTGATGGGAGCCAAACGATGGGGAAAGGAAACTCTACTGCATGCCATTTGTACTGAGGTCGGTGCGGTGCTATTTGATCTAACTCCAGCAAATATTGTCGGTTTTAATAATGTTGATCCATTTGGTCCTGAAGTTATCGAGATTATTATAAACTGCTGTATTTATATGGACGATGCTGAGAAGCCATTCACGAAGAAAGTAACCAACATCAATCGTACCAATCCGAAACGTTTAAAAAATTTATCAAAGTTAATACCAAATATTGCTCCCGAAGATCGGTTGCCATTTATTGGCATGTCAATTTTACCCTGGGAAGCAGATCAACAGTTGTTACAAAATACTTATAATCGTTTTATTTATATACAAAGGCCGGACTATGGTTCACTGTTGCATGAATAGAAGGCACTTTTGAGGTTGTGGAGATATTTAGGCGTTCTCCCAAGGGGATATTTTTTTCTCAAAGAAGCTTTCGGTTGAGGTTATTCTTTATAGAAGAGCTGAATGGAGTCTCTATAAACGAGTCTATATATATATATATATATGAGCTGAAATGAGTCTCTATCGACAAGATGAAGTCTTTTACGAAGACCTGAGAGGAAGTCTCTATAAACGAGCTGAAGTGAGTCTCTACAGATGACCTGAAGGAAGTCTTTATAGACGATCTGAAGGGAGTCTTTATAGACAAGCTGAAGTGAGTATGTATTTACAGACGAACTGAAAGGAGGATTTATATACGACCTGAGGGCGTCTCTATAATCGAGCTGAAGTAAGTCTCTATTGATGACCTGAAGGGAGTCTTTATAGAATAGTTGGAGTGTTTCTTTATATACGAGCTGGAGGGAGTCTTTTTATGAGAGCTGAGGTGAGTTTATATGGCGGAGTTGAAGGGAGTCTTTATAGACAAACTGGAGGTAATTTTTATAGATGAACAGGAGAAAGACTTTTTAGACGATCTGAGGCAGTCTCTATAGAGAAGTTGAAGAGTATCTTTGTAGGCGAGTTGGAGGTGGTTGTTGTTGTAGCAGCTTGTACTGTTGTACATTTCTTCTTATTCTCCTTAATCTGGTACTGCTTCCAACTCCAAGTTCAGGAAGGCTGCGACCTTTATCGGTTGCCTTAAAAGAGAAGATGGGGTTAGGTGAGTGGGTTTGGCTGGACAGTTGAATAGGTGTACCACATGCCGGGCAGATATTGTCGATCTCTCCATCAACTCGTGCCCCCAATATGAATTGAGGCGGTTATCCAAGACCACTCTGGTTTGTCGAGGTAGCTGCTGATCTTCTGCAGCTATTGTAGGCGGGTGATCTTCGAGGATGGTATTCACACGATACTCTCGCATTGCTTCCTCAACTGCATCCGACTGAGTACGATTCAATCCTGCTTGATAGCCCTTTTGATCTAGAGGCTCCCTTTTGTACCTTTGGACCTCTCTCTCCAGATCATGGAGATACTTCCTGACATGCCTTGGTGGTGGGTGCCTGTCTCTTAGGTAACGGTTTGGATGGCTACTCCTATAACACCCAAACAGGTATTGCATCGACAACATCTTGTTGTGTTGACGAACAGGAAGGATCTTCCAATCCAATCCCACGACGGCCGGTTCTATGTGCCGGATTGACTCGGAGGAATCAACTTCCGACCAAGGGCTGTCAACCCATCAAGTGTATTTATTCAACGAGCTGGAGGTAGTTTTTCTAGATGAACTAGATGGAGTCTTCATGCACGAGCTGGACGAGAGAGCTATAGGGCGTCTTTTTCCTAACACCCTAATTCATTAAAAATACAATAAAAACAACACATCATATTTTTTTTGTTTATGTTTTACACTAATATTTTATTTTGTTTGTTTCTTTATTTCTTGTTGTTGTTGTGTTTTTATTATGTTTAAGTTATTTAATTTGAATTCAAATACGTTGTTTACTGTTGTTGTTTTTGTTTCATACAATATTTTTCTTTGTGTTAAATTTTGTTCCATATCTGTTTTTTTTTAATATTTTTTTCAAAAACTCGAATAAGTGAAAATTTGTTTTCAATCAAAATTATTTGAATATTATTTTAAATATGTATGCAAGTATTTAATGTTGTTGTTAAAGGGGGGGCCAAAAAGGACTGATTTTCTTTTCAATTTCAAAATAACAGGAGAGGGATAGTCGACGTTTTTTTTAATTTTTGTTTTTTTTATTAATTTTTATTAAACGATTTGGTGTATTCTATTGTTGTTGTTTTTTTTCGTTTTGTTAAGTAGAAATCTTCTATGTAAATAAAATATATATTATTTTTTTTATTTATATATATTTATATTTTTTATTTATAATATATATAAATGTATATAGATTGTAGGTTGTTGTTGTTTGTTGTTGATTTTATTCAATTGAAAAAAGGAAGATAAATTTTGGAGGGTATGGTTAAATTGCTAGCTTGTATTTTTGGTTGAAATCAAACAAAAAAATAATAATATTTATATGTGTATTGTATAACCATGGGTTTCTCTGTGTTGTTTTTTCTAATATTTATATAAAAATTTATTTTAAAAAAACATTTATAGAGATGTTCGGAAAGTAAAATAATATATATTTTTTGAAAAAAAAAAATAATAATAAATCAAACATATATCTTAAATATATGCTAACAACTATAAATATAATAAAAATAATATTACAAATAGAAAAAAATATGCTTTTAATGTTATTAATTTTAACAACAAATAAATATGTATGTATATAATAAAATCAACATATTATTTTTAAGGTATATGCTCTCCATATTTTAAAAATTATTAAAAATAAGTTTAAAAGAATAGCTAAAAACAATGGGAGATTCCTAATTAGATACAGAAAAAGGGGAAATGATAATAATAGATAATTAGTAAAAAAAAAGTAAAAAGTAACATACAATTTTTTTTTTTAAA